ATCTGTGATAAAATCAACTAAAATCAATGATAAAATCAACTAAAATCAATGATACAATCATGTGGAGGCAGAATAGGCTTGCTTAAAAAGAAAAGTCTTTAAGCCTTTTTTAAAGTCAGTCAATGATTGTGGAGCTCTCAGATAGTCAGGGAGGGAGTTTCAGAGGCGGGGGGCAGCCACACAGAATGCTCGATCTCCCATGGTTCTTAATTTAGTTCGTGGAAGGTGGAGGAGATTACTGTTCTGCGATCATAGGGACCGGGTGGATGAATATGGAGCAAGAAGGTCCTTCAGATAATCTGGTGAATTTCCGTATAAACACTGATGGGTGATGAGAGCAATTTTGTACAGAATTCTGTAGGTGACAGGAAGCCAATGGAGGTTATGGAGAATGGGTGTAATATGTTCAAATTTACGAGCTCTCAATAAAATCCTGGCTGCACTGTTTTGAATATATTGAAGCTTCTGAAGGTTTTTGCCGGGTATTCCAGTAAACAGGGAGTTGCAGTAGTCGAGCCTGGAGGAGAGTCATGAGAGTTGTGTTGGTGCTGTGCTGCTTTAAACTTTAGTCTCAGCTGTGAGGAGCTGCGGGGAGTCGGACTTTGTTTACCATCAGTAAATAAACTCAAACAGCACATTTTTCTCCACCTTGTCCCTTTTAATTTAAAAATTATGCTCTGCTTTGTTATGTGGTTTTTTAGGTTAAAATCTTCATTATCTGTTGCTGTTTGTAATGTCAACCCCCCCAAACTCTTCCTGATTTAAGTGCACGCATTCTCCGGTAAAAATATCCCAGTTTTTATATAAAAGGCTGGTTACATATATATTATAACAACTGTTATTGTAGGGGGGACATATTGGTGCGAGGTCTGTGGGTCCTCCCCCATAACTTTTTAAATAAAGTAGCTGCTATTTCCTGCATTCTGGTGTATTTTAACAGGTTTTAAAACATTTATGTTTACCAACATAATACTTGATTCAATAACTGTTTTAGAAAGCATGGCACAAGAAGTAGCACTAAGCTTTTTGTTTGTCTTTAATTTAGTTTAATTTTTCTACCTAACACAGGAAGCTGTTAGCTCTGGAAGCAAACTGTTAAACAGCTTTGGACACAAAGACCCTTGTCCCACACTTCAACAGAGCAGGTAAGATACATAACATCTTGTAATCTCTGCCTGGTGAGGCTCATTAAATAATTATAAAATATGACAAGTGAAATAAATAAAGAAAAATTGAGCTTCTGTAATTTATAATTGCAAATGTCACATTTTCTTGACTTAATTTCAATTGTAAATTTCTTGTTTTTGATAAAATATTTTTTTCCTGAAGAAAGGCCAACAGATTGTAATTTGTAGTCACTGTAACACTATTTTGACTCGTGCACCGTCTTCTGTCACTTTTAGGTTCCACAAGGCTCTGGACTGGTCCAGCTGTGGAGAGATGAGGTGGAACACCAGACCTGCAATGGTCCAGTCTGTAAATGAAGCTCTGAAGTCTGGGAAGATGCACGACATCATGCTTCACCCTAACGAGCTCGTTACCTCGACCACACAGACTGAACTTCTGGAGGACGTCGTCCAATGATAATAATGCCTTTAAACATTTTTATTTGTTCTCTTGCTTGATACATTATTTTTATTTTTTTGTTTGTTAGTTTGTTTAAACAATTTAAAACATGACAGTAATGTCACTGTTTAAAGGAAACAATTGCTTAATAAATTAGTAAAATGCAACTTGTTCTGTTTGGGTTCTTTCATCCAAGGTAGACATGGTGTGACCCATGGACTGGTTTAGATTTTTTGTTTTTACTGGAACTGACCTTCAAAAGAGCCAGAAACAGACTCAGCAGCTGATCCTCCGTAGAAACATTATATAGACTTAAGGCCATGGACTACTTGTTTTATAACATTTAGTGAAGGTTTTTGTTTGGATTAAGGAAATAAATGTCTCTATTTCACCACAGATGAACTGTTCCTGTTGCCATATCTTTTGAAATAAAACTACAAAACACAAAGTAATTTAAACAGGAATGGGTAGAAGATCAAATCAAATTCAATGTATTTCCTAAAAATTAAATGAAAAACAGGAGCAGGAGTCACGTTACCAGGAGTGGGAGAGGACAGGATTATTTTTTTTACTCTGGACCAGGATTGGGACAGGACAGGATTTTTTCTGTGGGACCAGGACAGGACAGGAGTGAAAATCCACTCCTGTGTCATCCTCTACTGGAAACACAGGAACTATTTTGAGTTTCTGTCAGTGAAGAATGACAATATCAAGGTTCATTGTACCCTCTGTGCTAGTGAAAAAGTGCTGTCTAGCTTCAAAAACACCACATCAAATCTGAAAAAACATTTGGAGTCGCAGCACGGGACAGTCAAACTGATGGAGCAAGCCCCGCCAGGTGGTTTGAAGCAGAGAGCTGCGACAGGAGGTCCCCCACCACCCAAACAACAAAAGGTTGACTTCGGTGCAGAAGGAGAGTTTAAAAAAGTTGTTTGGACGGTATGTAGTAGAATAATCTGGAAGAGCACATCAAATGGCGACATTTATGTTTGAGTTCTGCATTGTCTCTTTTTAAATACAGTTCAATCAATCATATTTGATGTGATATTTGATATTGAATGAGGTTATATTTGATGTTATTGGATGATGTGATGTTTGATTATGTGATATTTGTTGATGATATTTGATAATGTGATATTTGATGATGTGATATTTGATGATGTGATATATGATGAGATGATAAATGTGGGATTAAAAGTTGTATTAAGTGTATTGGATTAGGGCTGGCCAATAATTCGACATTAGTATATGTCACAATA